CATCGCAATTTATTGGAACTGTGTGAACTAGAGTCACTACTCACCTTAATGTTCTGCTAAAGGCGTATTACTTAATAACACAAAAATGTCCTGTTGGCACTTGCCAATTTCATGGCAGAGAATGGTGACTTCAGTTTTTTTTTTTTTGAAGCGGATGCATATCTGTCGTAAAATAATCCTATGCATCTCGTGGCGTATATTCCAAGCATTCTGAAGGTAATACAGAGGGTTTGGTGAGAAACAAACCGAAATGGCAAGCTATTATATTTTATGAAAATCTTGCGTTGCAGTGCGAGTGCGCAGCAGCTCACGCCGAGCACTAGTGCATATCCTTTTGAGATATCATATCAATTATAATCAATTTTAATAAAACACAAGACTACATTATATAACTCTTAACAGTAGGCTATTTAATATCTGTTGTTCTCCGGTTGTCAGTCAGAATGACAGTTCTTGCGTGAACATAGGCCTATATACCCAAGCCAATTTATAATTCTTTCCTTTTTGTCTTGGTGTTTAAAATATTTCTTTTGAAACAAATTAATTAATTAAACAAACAGACTTACTGGGTGAGCAGGGTAGGCTATGACAGCTGTCATATCATACCCTGTCATGCCAGCTGATGCAAAGAATATAATTTATATCTACACAGAAGAAAGCCCTGTCTAGACTCTGCCCAGGTATGAGTTGTGTCGAGCTATTCATTAGCCTGTTTGTTTGATGAAAAAAGACTAAATGTAGTTGCAATAAATGCGTTAAGAATCCATACAACTGCAGCAGTGGAGGACTATTATTCTGCTGCGTGATACTGCGGAAGAACTGATGATGGCACGGTTTGATATTCGGCTGACAGCAGAAAGGGGTGTTTAATTCCCCGCCCACGTGTAGAAATCGAATATTCAAGCTGTTTATTCATTTTTCCACCCAAGAACGAAAAACGAAAATGTAAGCTGAATTCTCGTTTTTCATGTTTTGGAAAAAAAACGAAAATACGAAAAAGGAGCCGTTTTCAAATTTTTCTACTTTCAATATTAAATAAAAAACGAATGATCGAATGATACACGGATTCAGAAACATCACCAGGGTTTGGTTTGGTGACACAAGTATATAACTGTAATTTTATTAAACTCTATATAACTAAAACTAACTATAAATAAAAAAAACACATACAGAAAAAATACAGTTCCTTTCATGCTTTTGATTATTTTTGAATGCCATAATGTGTTTAAATAGTAACCAAACATCATAACATTAAAAAAAAAAATCACTTTCAAAATCATCTTTAGGCCAGTTGGTAAAAAAAAAAAAACTATCAATATATTCTTGAATTGTTTTCCAGTGGTGCCAGATTTAAAGTCTTTGCTAGTATTTTTATAGCGTCCACAGCACTGAACATATAATTCGTAACTGCATCTTGATTGGGAATTCACAACTGAAATTGCTGGCTGCTAAATATTGCCTACTGAATTAAGAAATGGTATACATTTGACTCAAGGAATCAGGCGGGGAAAAATTTTATAAAATAATAGAACAATTAGCATTAACATAAGTGCGAAAAGTGAGCTTTGGTAGTGGGAGAGTTTTAGAGACATCAAATTTGATGTAGTATAAGTTTACACTGTCCTCTATCTTTGTGCCAAATTTCCAAATTTTTCTCCAAACGTTTCAGTGGGCTGAGAGTTGGGTTTGCAAGACTACTAATTTCTGCTAGTTACTCGTCAAAACAATTTCCAAATTACCGAAGTACTCTAGGTTTATGTTACTCTTTAAAAAAAGACATGAAAGAAAATAGTTTATTAGTGTTTATTAAATTGATAGCCTAATGCTTGCAACATGTCTCTTACATGTATTGTAAAAACATTAAAACAAGAATTATCCCTTAAAAACAATTAAATTTTGTATTAGCACACACAAAGTAGCATGTTACAGTATGACACGTAACATTGTAACCTTAACATCTGCGTCTTTGAAGCCAAAAATATATGCGCATGCAATAACAGCAGTAGTGGTGTTAACCATGCAAATGCATGGGGCCCTGTAGGCTTGCTGGCCACAAACAATTAACTCCTTTTGACCTCATTTATTAATGGGCCGGATAAAGTAGACAAAAATAACGAAGCGGTGCTCAAAAAAGAAAGAAAGAAGAAATGCAATACTAAAATGTTTCCAAAGCTTAAAATGTTTTAGTCATCTAGCTTAAGCGGTAGCACTCTCCACTTTATTACTAGTTATAGCATGTAATAAATGTGAATCAGAAGGTATGTTGGAAAATACAGTACAATTATTGAAATGTATCATGCCTCGTGATCATTCATTCAATCACGGAAAGACAATAAAACAGTTTGTAAAAACATAACACTGCATTTACCTCATTCAATGTCCATAGCTGAGTAGTTAACAAGAAAAAAAAAAACTAGAGGACTATGCATTACTTTTAGTGATGCAGTCATTATTTAATGTATCTTTGAACTTAAACAGTCAATTGAAACAGCGAGGAAAAAAACAGCACATTGTACATACCATTTTTGTAGTGACTGTTTTTGTTTTTATTTTATTTGTGTATGTAAATAAAGATTTTAAATGTCACTTAATTCTGTTTAATATGTACAATTCAAATAATATAGTTAAATAAAGGTAATGTTATGGTAGGGCATGTAGGGCCTCAGGTCTTGACTTTGCTTAGGGCCCCCAAAATGGTAAACCCACACCTGAATAACAGATCTGTATGCACATCACTTAGATCTTCACTAAACCGATTTGAAATACTTTATAATAGAATAACACAAAATTCACAGTCTACTTGCTGCCATTGTCCTCCTGACACGTACTGAGCCAAGGAAAACAAATCTTTCACTCTTTGTACTGGTGGTAAGGACAGCAAGATATGATTTGGCCAAATTCTGAATGGATTACCCCCCCAAAAAAAGCACACAAAGAATGATCCCTTTATAATTGCTAAAAAGCTGACACAAGTTCATTGCGATCTCAAAAAGTGTGACAAAGCAGGGGGACATCAGCAGAGCCAAAATCATGAATATGAAGACAAATTCTGCTTTTAAACCTCCAGCACAATCTCCCCCTCTCTACAATTGAAAAACAAAAAACGTATATTGTCAACACAGAATAACTTTTAATTTTCTCCTCCTCCATACATATCTGCCAGCTTCTTAAAGCGTGGGCCCCACTCATTGAGGAAGTCATAGTCTTGGTCATGTCCTGAGTTGGAAGAGTTGAGGGAGCTGAGTGAACTCGCATCGGAGCCTCCTCCTTCATAGTCAAACACCAGGAGGGAGTCGTATGGGGGTGCTGTGGGATCTTCATCTGCAGTCTTCAGATTCTATGTTACAAAGAACTGTTACTGTCACGAGTAGAACTTTTTTTAAGAAGGGAATCAAAATATTGTGGCTGGATGGTTGGTTACTTTCTTTTGGTGGACTCCATGATTGACAGGTTTATGGGCCAATGGATAGCATTGACCTCTAAGAAGGTTGTTGACGTTTTGTCATATAATGCACTTTTGTATTCCTGTTTTAATGTATTATTTTATTTGGCTTATTTTCTCAGTGCTTTGGGATATGACTATTTGTGCATACCTGTGCATACTTGTGTGTAGTGGTGTTTTATTGGTGTTAAAGAATGTCTTTGAACTAATGACCACTATATTTTTTTTATGGTGTAATGTTTGTGTGCATTACATGTAAATAAAATTCATTTTCTTTTTTTGTAATTGATCTCCATCTCTGGTCCTCTAGATTTTTTAGATCAGCTTGTCTGATCCTCTATCCTTTTCTGGTTTTTGTGTTAAATAATCCCCTGGGTAAAATTCCCAAGTTGGCCTAGCCTGCCTTTTTTTTGGTCTACAAAAGTTTTTGTTCTGCTCTGAGCACCTTGCCACGTTAGAAAGATCTGATGCTCATTGTAAAACTAATATATGACTTACATAATCAATGAATGTGGCAATCTCCTCAGGGTTGGCTGGTCGAGGTCTATACCGAGGTGCAGGCAAGAAAATAGGAGCCACATCGTTTCTGAACACTTGAGGTCTGTTGTCCAGGCCTCGATGTAACACACTCAAATCATAGTTCTGTGTAGAAAGTGTGTGATATAAAAAGAAAAAACAACAAGAAGTGCACACTGCACTGTAGTAATTGTTGTTGATATATACAATCTAATGCACTCTAAAACAGTAGCACCAAATCACAGAAAGCTGTATTTCAATAATTTGCCATAACACTAATTGTAATGAATCCAGACCTTAAAAAACTGAATTAATTTAAATTTTAAACCTAACCTGATCATTTTCTCCACCGCCTTCCTCATCATAACAGCAGACATTGTCTCTTATGTCATCTTCTTCAGGAAGGAGTGGCTTTTTTATACTACTTGGTTTCCTCCTCATGAGCAGCAGAAGTAGAAGAAGAAATACTGTGGTAAAAAGAGCATAAACTAAATCACTAACAAAAAATGACAAAATTTTAGGATTAAAGAAATTATTCAAAAGTGATAGTAGTTAATGAATACACTGAAAGTGTTTAAAGGGGTCATATCAAGGATTAAAAACTCATCCCCAGCCCAGACATTAATGGATGCCAACTGACATCATCTGCAATGTTTACTTCTGTAAACAAAAAGAAGAAAGTGCATCTATTTCTCCACTTCATTAAATATTCCATATGTACAGGGAATGATCCACGGTGTTAGAATATGCTTAAGACAATCCATCTGTGTTGGTCATACAAAAATTAACGTCCTGTTTGTGTATTATCCACTTGGAAGAGAAAGAACATTGTCCTACAATTGAGTCCTACAAGTCTGTTGCCCATAGAGAACATCTGAAAGATACTGCAGCAAAAACAACCTTGTTTAACACTAATGGTCAAAGGTCACACTTGTGTTTTGAAGAAACCTTGAATAATTTTAATGTTACAAATGTGTAAGATATAACCCCTTTATTTACTTTAAATGTATGAATGGAATAATTAAATTACATACACAGCAGAGCCAAGATGGCTGCCAGGATTCCAAGAGATAATGATAGTGGGATCCCCGCCATCATTTTTTTGCATAGAAATTCATCTCCTTTGCAGTCACACACTGTTGCTTGAATGGAGTTGTCCTGATACATGTTATTGGTATCATAAACCCTTAGGACAACATTGTAATGATCCTGCTCCAACACAGAATTAAGCGTCAACAGAATCCCAGTTTCTATAATAGGCAAATAAATAGGTTAGTATAAACACCTAGACTTGAATTAGATCATATGTAGTTCATATTTTTCCAATATACATTATCCTTACTTGTTTCATTCATCCTGGCAGTCCAGTTTTTCTTTGTGTCTCCTTGGGGCTCAACGCTGAAGGGAGCAGCATAAAGAGGTCCATCTTTGTCAGTTATAGAGAGAAGCACTGTGGCCTCACGATTGCAAATCACTATACTTCCTTCGTTAATAATTGGAGCGTTGTCATTTACATCCTCCAATTCAATTACCAAGGTTCCTGTACCAGTTGCTGGATTTACATCTGCATACAAGCACAAACTTATTGAAAAAGGCTATACTAGCGAGAATTCTCATTTTAAAAAGAAACACAAATTACCATCATCATCCAGGGCCAAAATGATAGCTCTGTATTTGCCATCTTTGACAGATTCTCTATCCATTATACTCTTGACTTTAATCATTCCAGTTTCTTGATTTACACTTAGCCAGTCAGCAGGATCATTGCCAATTTTATACCTGGGAGGAACCAAAATGTGTACACACACACACACACACACACACATACATGTAAATAGATAGACAGATATGGTATACTATAGTAATTACATGTAACGTGTAACTATGTCACGCAACAAATTATTACCATATACTTCAGAAGTTTAAGAAAGAAACTGATACTTTTATTCAGCAAGGGCTTCAAAACGACATTTATAAATAAAGACATTTATAGTATTACAAAGGATTTCGATTCAAATGCTGTTTTCCAAACTTTCTGTTCATCACAAAATCCTGAAAAAAGACACTAAATTGCAGTTATCATACACTTCAGCATTAAGCAACACAACAATTTTCAGCTGTGATAATAAGAAAGGTTCCTTGAGTACCAAATCAGCACATTAGAATGATTTCTTTGTGACTGCCTCTATGCAGAAGTCAGTCTCTCTTGCTCTCTCTCTCTCTCTATCTATCAATCTTACTGATCTCAAACTTTTGAACAGTAGTATATATCTCTTTATTTATGTATAAAGTTTAAAGTGGTGCAGCAGTTCTTACGTTATCTTCTGTGATTTTCCAGTGTCTGGATCAGTGGCTGAATAAGCACCCAATTCAGTATCAACTGGTAAATTTTCATGTCTGGAAATAACCTTCTCCTTTGGATTAAACTTGGGAGGCTCATTCACATCTTCTACATTCACCATAACTGTGGCAGTGGAAGTGGTCAAAGAACCGACAAATGGTTCATCATTTTCAACAATCACCAACAGAATGTATTGCTTGTTCTTCTCAAAGTCCAGGGGCTAAATAGAAAAGAAAGCATCTTTTACTAAGGTATGTCATCACAATTAATTCAATGGACAGACATTGGAGCAACACACAGTACCTTTACAGTGGTGATGATGCCCTCCAGCTGGCTGGGTCCAGTACTGACATTGAAAAACCCACCCTTGTCACCACTAATAATACGGTACTTGGTTGACCAGGCAGGTGATCCAACTTCATCTCCATCAGTAACTGTAAGTTTGGCCACTACAGCCCCTACTTTATTCTCTGGGACAGATATGATGTGCTAAAACATAAAATGAATGATTTTATGCTGTACTGAAATGGTATATAGTATAAAATATAAATAGTTGTATTTATACTCTAGTATAGCACTGACTGAACACTCAATGTTTGTATGCATTACCGAAGTTTGCTCAAACTGTGGTGGGTTATCATTGCTGTCAGTAATAATAATAACAGCTGTGCCAGTGGTTGCCAAACCTTCTCCTTCCATGTCAGCAGCCACAATTAACAAAGTATATCTGGGCCATTGCTGAAAAGGAAGATAACTGATTAGTTTGTTCACATCATGTCATTTGATCACCACTTCGAGAGTCATCAAATGTCACTTCTCACCTCTCTGTCCATGCCTGGTTCTCGCACACGAATGGTTCCAGTTGAAGTGTTGATTTCAAACATGTTTGGTTTTGGAAATTTGGGCTCTTGGCTGACAAGTGTGTATCTGACCATAGCATTGTCAGTTTCTGAATCATCTGCATCAGTGGCTGTGACTGTCATGAACTCATGGTCTTTGATGTGAGAATAAAGACTAAAGTTACTATTGATGACATTTAAAAAATGCAAAATGTACTATTTAAGGGAATCATTAAAATGTATGTTAAAAGAATGATTAAAAGACATTTATTCTAAAGGCTGACTGCTCAATTTGCCTACCTTTAGAAGCTTCAGAAACTTGTCCATTAAAAGGATTTTCCGTAAACTCAGGCTTGTTATCATTCTGGTCGGTCACAATGATAGTGAGGTTTGTGGGTGATGCCTCTTTTTTCCCATCTTCTGAAATTGCACAAGCCTTGAGCTGACGACATGGGATGCAACGTGGATGTTAAGTGCAAAATTCTAGTAATATCCCAAGTGAAATACTTTATCTGTTTACTTTATTAATCATGTAATAAATAAAGATCACATATTAAACTACAAAATGTTAAATGGAAAGAGAAACATTTTATTGGCTTAGAATTTACTGTTTAATTGATTTTCAGAGGCACATAGACAGTTTCTTAATTTTCAGTATTTCTGCCTAAACTAAATTGTTCAGAATTGAGTCCTTCATATTGTTTCACTGATTTAATGAGCAAAATAATCCAGGAATAAATATCTTTACTGGAGAAGGTATGTGAACCTCATCTGTTAATTAAAGGGGTCCTATTATGCTTTTTACACTTTCATCTTCCATCGTAGTGTGTGATGTTGCTGGTAGTGCATAAAAAAGATCCACAACAATAAATTTAACATCACTGTAATAAACATCCACTTACCTTGTATAAATCCTTTTTTTCTCTATCCAGTGGCTGTGTCACAAAGAGATTCCCTGTCTTTTTGTCAATAGTAAAAATCTTCACAGGTGGCTGATCTGCCCCTTCTCCTGCGGCTCTTGGCTGACAAGTGTGTATCTGACCATAGCATTGTCAGTTTCTGA